GGGGGGGGGGGGGGGGTCCGGTCCTCCCACCTACTATAAGTGTTCCCATCCTGCCACCTGGGCTCCTGCCAAGTTGATAATTTCGGCGCAAAACCAGAGTCTGGTCCTGCCACCCACCATACATGTTCCCATCCTGCCTGCAGTAATCCTGCCAAATTTAAACGCTATAGGTCCTTTTGATCAGGAGTTATGAATTTGCGGCCCAAAATTTCTATCCCGCACGCCACGCCCCCTGTAAACGGAGTCCGGTCCTGCCACCCATCATAAGTTTTCCCATCCTGTCCCTCGTACTCCTACCAAGTTTGAACACTCTAGGTCAACGGGGACAAGAGTTATGAATTTCCGCTCGGACACACACACAAACACAAACGCACAGGTTAGCGAATTATGTATGTGAAGTAGGATATTCCCTTTGAAATCACATCATATAAACTCCCGCCGAATCCTTTCCTGAAAATCTATCAGCATCAAACACGCTCTCGGTGGAGCCCAGGGAAAGTAATGTAGCAACTTGATAAAATTGCTTTTCAGTTCCGCCAAGCCCACAAGAGGGTTCGCAACTTGATGAGTGGTCAGTGATTGGGAGACATATGACGGTTGATCCCGATGTAGAAATATAGCGGGGTCGATCTCTAGGATCCTATGCCCGGGAACGTCGTGGAGAACCTAGTGGAAGATTTTCAGTAACTTCCTCGTATTGTGGGAGGTAATCGAGGAAAAGGACCAGAGGCTGATTGTTCTGCAACAGATAGGCAACACAACTACGAGGGTCGGGAGTTGGAGGGAGGGGGACTGAAAGGCCTTCGCCAGTCCGTGGCAGAGTGGCAGAGCGTTTTGGCCTCACGTCGAAGGTCCAGAAGTCAGGACAAGCTCTTCATGAGTACTGCGCGGAACTGTAGAAGGCAGCGAATATATGCAGTTTTGAGAAGATCAAAAACCATCGGGATGCGAGATCTAAGAATGGTTTTATCGGAGGGTCGTTGACGAGGAAGCGACTTTTGGAGAGAGAGGACCTTACATCGAGGAACGAGGAATTGAGCGCCCTTGTATTGGAACTCGCTACATAGCAAAGGTGGATGCCGCCATTGCAGGCGATAAAGGATAAAGTTTTTGGCGTTAATCAGTCCCATCTGAAGGATGCGCCCCCGCACTCGACTTCCGTTCAGAATCGTAGTGGCGTATTGAGTGCGATGTGGCCAATACAATGACTTGCGGTGACCAGCCGACGTACAAGTCAGTGCTTTTATCCTCCCAAACGAGTCTGGTACCAACTAACCGACCCCGGAGGGATTGAAGGCTTGGTTGGCCTAGGCGGGTATCGATCCGGGATTTGAACCCCTAACCGTGCGTGTGAGATAGTGCGCCACTTGCCACTACACCACCTCCGCCCATTGCAGGCAATACCATTAGAAATGAGCAAAGCACTGAAGGAGACGATGATGGTGTAAACGTATTCGAGAAGGCATGTCACTAACTGTCACTTGGTGCCGACTAAACCCGCGTGCTCCGGCTGACTTTAGTCGGGGCATTATACTGCATGAATACGAGGTTTTACTGTCGATTCTGACGCTAGAAAGGAAGAAAACCACGGCGCGTTACGACTCAATAACCGGGTGAGTTGAGCTTCTTCAGAATAAAACATAAAGGTTTTAAGAGAAGAAGTTGCCGCATACACCATGATTTCTCCTTCCTTGGAAGTTTAGAAAGTGAAGCTTATCTTTCCCAGATGATGCATTAGAACCGGTTGCCACAGTTCAACTTTTTTCATCGGCAAAACACTGAAACACCAAAACAAGGAAGAATAAACGATAAGACATGAAGGACACCTTACTTCAATCGATTCGGATGCAAATATTTGCAAAGCGACCCGATTATTTCGATGGTTTCCAGATGTGAAGGGTGCCTGTCCATTTTTCACCCAACTATAAACTCAGACATTTATCACGTTCTAAACAGTAATCCTCGAAACATTAAGCCTAATAGAGGAGTTGTTTTCCGCACTTTACTATTCGTATTCAGCGCTTCTATCAAAACACGTCGCTTATATCATTCCGAAAGTACCGGTTGACAACCCTACTTCATTGCTCCTATACTCTGCAAGATTCCTGACAGAACTGTCGACATCTGCGTGGTACCAGCCCGAACCTTAAGATTCAAAGATTTGACAGTCAGACACATCCTTCAGTCAGTCACATCCTTGTGAAAATGTGATGTCTCTCGGTATCGGATGGCAACTTTCCTTAACCCAATACCTGAAATAGGAAGTTATTACACAAAAGAAGCATTCATGCAAGGTGCAAATAGAAGGGGAGAACATGAGGTGGCTGTTGCTCTTTTAAACATAAGCACAGCGGCCTTTTCTGAAAAATGAAAGGGAATTTTGAGTCCACGTTTTTGAGCTGGATATTGCTGTTGGTCTACAACTTACGGTCTTTATAGGGACCTTTTCATACAAAGTCTTCTCCTAAAACGCCCTATAACGTGAGATTTGGTGGAGTTCACGAGTGGCTCTATCATTATTTAGCACAGTGTACGTGTACTTTTCATCGCCTTACCCAAATCTTGCGAATCGCGGATCACCGCTGTATACACAGAACTCCAAGCTAAGTTAAGAAAGAATTGGTGCGCACTCTGAAAGAGATATTTCATATTGTGCCCGAATTTTCCCAGACCTAGACCAGTTCCTATTGCGTTGCGAACCAAAAAGGATGTTAAGCTGAAAAAATGGTGCGAAGTGGGAACATAATGAGGGTGGAACATTGGTTATGCACAAACCAGACGGGAAGCTTATAATGTGTGGCGATTATAAGGTCACAATAAACCCATGTTAACCATATATCGGTACCCCTTGCCTGGTGATTTATTTCATACTAGTCAGGTCGCCCGGCTTACGCCGGGCCTCATTCCCTACTTTTACCAAGTAGTTAGAAAATGTAGTAAGAGGGTGGGGGCATCGCGTTTGTCCAACACGGAGGGTTAGAGTGCATAGGGGGGGGGGGGGGGGGTAGCGACCCGACCTATACTTAGAAACGGTTCTGGGCGAAACAGTATGGTTCCAAGCAAAGCGTCAGAAGGAGAGAAGCGTCGGGGTATGGGTGAGAAGATTACCTAGTACAAAAAGCTAGAATGGGGTATGAGCTATAAATTAATGGACTCACCCACTTCGGTACCCCTTCCCTCCTGGAGCAAAGGAAAAAACTGTATGTTCTCGGCTAAGAAATGCTCATAAGCATAATCATACTCTAACCTT